TTGAGCAATTTTTTATGTACATGTTGGGCATCTATATCTTTTGAATAGTATTCCAATCCTCTGCCTATTTTTAATCATATTTTTTTGCTGTTATTGAGTTGTATGAGTTCTTTATATTTTGGATATTACTCCCATATCAGATATGTGATTTCAAAGATTTTCATCCATTCAAGAGGTTGCCTTTTCATTTTGTTGAGGGTTGACTTTGCTGTGCAGAGCTTTTTAGTTTGATGTAGTCCCATTTGTTTATTTGTGCTTTTGGTGCCTTTGTTCTTGGTGTCAAATTAAAAAGATCATCGCCAAGATCGATGTCAAGGTTTTTACTGCCTATGTTTTTTTTTTCTAGGAGTTTTATGGTTTCATGTTTTATATTTAACTCTTTAATCCATTTTGAGTTAAGTTTTGTGTAGTGATCCAGTTTTTCCAGCACCATTTATTGAAGAGACTGTCCTTTCTCCATTGTATATTTTTGGCTCCTTTGTTGTAAATTAATTGACTATATATGTGCGGGATTTCTATTCTATTTCATTGATCTATGTGTCTGTTTTTATGCCAATATCATACTGTTTTGATTACTATAGCTCTGTAGTGTAGTTCGAAATTAGGGTGTGTGATGCCTCCAACTTTGTTCCTTCTCAAGATTGCTTTGGCTATTTGGGGTCTTTTGTGGTTTCATACAAATTTTAGAATTGTTTATTCTATTTCTGTGAAAAATGCCATTAGAATTTTGATAGGGATTACATTGAATCTGTAGATTGCTTTGGGTATTATGGACATTTTAACAATATTCTTCCAATCAATGAGCATGGAATATCTTTCCATTTATTTGTATCTTCAATTTCTTTCATCAGTGTCTTACAGTTTTTGGTGTACAGGTGTTTTACCTCCTTGGGTCAGTTTATTCCTAGATATTTTATTCTTTTTGATGCAATTATAAATGAGATACTTTTCTTAATTTTTCTTATAGTTTGTTATTAGTGTATAGAAATGTGACAGATTTTTGAATAGTGATTTTGTGTTGATATCATCTCAATAGATGCAGATAAAGCAACTGTACTCAATATATTTATTAGTTCTAACAATATTTTGGTACTCTTTAGAGTTTTCTATATATGATGTCATCACAAATGGAGGCAGTTTTACTTCTTCCTTTCCAATTTGGATGGCTTTTATTTTTTTTCTTGCCTATTTGCTCTAGCTAAGATTTTAAATCCTGTGTGGAATTAAAGTGGCAAGAGTGAGCATCCTTTTCTTGTTTCTGATCTTAGAGGAAAAGCTTTCAGTTGTTTACTATTGAATATGGTGTTAGCTGTCTGCTCGTTATATATACCCTTTATTATGTTGAGGTGCGTTCCCTCTATACATAATTTGTTGAGAGTTTTTATCACAAATGGATGTTGAATCTTGTTAAATGCTTTATCTGCATCTACTGAGATAATCATGATTTTCATCCTTCCTCTTGTTCTTGAGGCTTATCACATTGGTTGATTTGCTGCTGCTGTTGAACCATCCTTGCATCCCAAGAATAAATCTCACTTAATCATGATGTACGAAACTAATCATGTATTGTTGAATTCGGTTTGCTAATATTTGTTGAGTACACGAAAAGCATTTTAATAACTCTTCTCTGTAAGTTGGGGAGGCTTATGAGAAATGCTGTGGTTAAAATGGACTCCCTGTTTCAATGGAGATGTCAGAATCTTGGGAAACTTAATAGCAGCACTTTTCAGCAATTAACAACTGGAGAAAAGGTGGAAACAATAATAGAAGCAGATATACTATACTCAGAATAGTTTAGTCTGCAGAAATCTTTGCTGGTGGTCAGTAAATCACAGGGCCCCATGTCCTGAAAATTTTAACAATTAGAGCAGATGCGGACCAAGAAAAATGGATGCCAGTGTATACAACTAATACAGCCACACCAGTGTGTATCAGCTGAATATCAGCTTATGTCCAAATATGTGGGCAACCCATATAGGTCTACTTGATATGATATGTATAACAGCAGCAGAAAAGCCTGACTACAGCCACCAGATTAAGTGTCGAGGCCCTCACCAAATTGCCAATCACAGATATGAATGAAAGACCTCGAAGGTGAAGAACTCTGTAATATAAATACTTCCAACATCTTCCTTTGCAGCTCCATTTTTACAGGATAACAGCGCATTGCATAAAGAATACCACTAGACCTTTTGGAAATCATCTGGCCACATCTGAACAAATACAGATTTCCGGGGTCTCTGAAACCATTGTGGTCTATGGGACAAAGTGTATGCTATAGTAGTAAGTCCATCTTCTAGTTGTTTTCCCATTAAAGAGTTAGAACTGATTTCCTCATCATGTATGGCAGTGTCCCCACAGTGGATTCCTGATGTGTAAAAAAGGTTATTCTGGCAGGAAGTACCAGATGATTTGCAGGGATAAGTCCACCATCAAAAGCTTTACAATAAGCAGGGGTGTGATGATTATTACAGTGAGAATTAACTGATCTTTAAAAATGACAGCTGCTGTCAAGTTCTGTTTCTTGGAGCAAATCAGTAGGTAGCTACTGATTTGGCCAGTACTTTTTTTGTTTCTCCTTTATTCCAGTAAGTAGAGGGACCCAACACAGTTTGTGCTGTCAACATTATAGGTTGTCTTTTCAGTGTTTAACTCTCTGACACTGTCCCAGAATGTAATTCTTATTACCAGACCTTGATTATCTCACCATTGTACAGGGCATCATGCTGGTCTAATACATTGATGATGATGTGCTCACAGGACCTGGAGCACAGGTGTCGTCAGGTTTCATGGATACTTGATAAGATACATTGTGGCAAAGTGTAGAAGATCCATGCAAAGAAAGTGCAAGAGCCTGCCACATCAGCCAAATTTGTGGAGGTTCAATGTCTGGTGCATGTTGGAATGTCCCCTCCATAAAGGACAAATTGTGTACTTTGTTCCAGCTACGAGACAGGAGGAATCCCAATGTTTGGTGGGATTCTTTGAATTTTGCCTCTACTACTCAAACCTATTTATGGGTGATCCAAATGCTTCTAGCTTTAACTGGCCCAAGAAAAAGAAAGGCCTCTCCAGCTGGTCCTGGCTGCAGTGAAAGTTCTACCATATGGACCTTATGAAGGGAGATTGAGTCGGCTCAGTTATGAGGCAAATTAAGATTCTGTATTAAACCAGGATTTTTGAGCAAACCATGCCCTCTTCAGAAAATGCCTGTTTTTTCAATTTACCACTGGGCTACTTGAGGTAAAAGCAAATGAAAGAAAATTGCCCTGTTCAAAGGTTCTGTAGGCTCCCCAGGGCCTTCTCAAGTTCTCAGAAGGGATGGATGGCATGTAAGCGTCATACATGGAAATACGTTCACAGGCAACATATTTCTGATTTACTATGGGGATGTTTTAGAGGTCCTTGCGTTAGGGTCCATCAAGTCGTCTGGCCTCCTACTCAATCCATTATACACGTATCCCCAGCCCTTAGCCTAACACATAATAGACCAATAAGGAACAAAAAGCAAAGAACATACTTGAAGAAATGTTGATTTAATTCACTAAGTCTTAAAAAGACACTGCAACATTTATAATGAGCATTCTTTGCAAATAACCATTTAAAAATATAATGTATGTAAACAGAATCAGGATTCTTCAGTTACAAGCAATAGACACTGATTCTTTCAAGAGAAAAAGGGCAGATGGTGAATAGCTCAGAGGTGTTAATAAACATTCAGTAGGTCAGAATTGAGGCTGGCACTATTCAGATTTAAGCAGCGAGAGATCAAAACTATCTTTAGGGAAGGCTGCCAGTGGGCAACTTGATTTCAGTCACTTTCCCCAAACCATACAGAGAAGGGGCAGTTCCCCAGTGTGTGTGGGTGTATGTGTATATATGCTCTTATCAGGCTGAGCAAACAAAACCAGAAGTCTACTGTACATACACAGCTGAGCTTTGAATTATATATGTACTTTTAATATGAAAACATACACTTCCCCCAATTAATGTTGATTAGTGCTTCTGATAGGAATAAAATATTGCCACATACTCATGGCATGAAAAGTAGGTTCTGAAAAATCAGAATTAGCTACAGAAGCAGGAAAGATTTCATAAGCTAGAATTTATTCCTTGCATTTGAGTTATGTAAATTATTTTTTTGTTCCATACTTTGGTTCTTTAAGCTTGATTATCTGTCACTACTTTTGCCAATTTAATCATAGGAAAGCCTCTATGAGTGGTTTAGGCACCTATTAGGGGCCTGGCACATACTGTCTCATTTCAAAGAAAGAAAATTAATGGAGTTACATCTGTTTAGAGCCTAAAAATTTGTGACTGCTAATTATACTTATTGACGGTTTTGGGAGATTATGGCAGAAATAGACTTCTATATGAAATTGTTTTCAGTCCATTTCTTATTTCTTCCCTTTGTGTATAAGTGTGAGCCTCCAGCTTGAGTCCAACCACATCCAAGGCCAGGATGGGCAAGCTGGACAATTGAACAAGGCAGGCCCAGGACAGAGCCTCTGAGTTGTCCCCTGAAACTCATTCTAAGAGCGTAGACAGAACAGCGCACCCAGTTCCAAGGCTTCAGGGTCAGGAGACTCAGCTTAGTGCCCGGTCAGTCTGCTATTCTGTTTGCCTCGCCCTAGCCCAAGGACATGTGTCTACATCTCAGACACAGAGCATGAAATCAGAATGCACTGTTACCAAAAATCCTGTAAGCTCCCCAGCACATACAGCAGTGGTTGGCATCTAACAACGTATCGCAGTATGGAGAGTGAGGCATTCCCCTGCAAGTTCACTAAATCTCAGCATCCAGATTTGGCATCCTGGGGGGACCAGGACATCAGTGGTGTGCCTGGGACCCAGCAGAATGAAATGCACCCTGAGAAAGGGCAGTAGTAGGCAAAGAGACCATGGAGACCAGAGAAAGCTGCAAAGAGGCAGCTCAGGATGCCCCTAAACACAGAGGAGACTCCCAGGAATTTTTGGGCAGGGGCAGATACTTTGTAATGAAAAGGTTTGGCAAGTGCCACTTTATTAGGGGTTATCATTGAAATAAACTCTTATTTTGAAAAAGGCTGGTGAAGCCTGTGGAGCTTGGAATTTTCAGAAGAGATGACAGTAACTTATCACCAAAGTGTAGAGTTCAGTTTTTCACCCCCAGTAAGGCGATGGTTCAGAGGCATCCACACTGGTCCTCTCAACACTCCTGTCCTGGCACATGGGTGGAGATTCCCCGGATGCATCACCTGTGCAACACTTTGTAGACAAGAAGTATCTTTTTGTGTGGGTAAGAACTGAGAACACTGGTATCATTCTCTTTAGTGTCATTAATCAACCAACCCAAACGGCCAGATAACACGTGTCGTCCTCATTACTCTTGAAACTTCTGATTCCTCTGCCATTACAGATGGGATCCAGTTTTACTGAAAGAAAAAACTCAAAATAGGGGACTTTAGCATAAAGTAAGAAATGTTGTAAATGTGCTTTGTTCTCACTTTAAACTTGATTTAGAATTCATCCCCAATAATGAAAGGGAATGTGGTGTGCCAACTTATGGTAGCACTGTGAAAGGGATAGATGTTATTCCTATTTGTGAATTCAGAGTGGGGGTTGGACTGTTGACATTAACTATGGGCTTTGGACTCTTCTTTACAAATCAGCTTCCCCAGTTAAAGTGACTGCTTTTATTAAGTTACAATTAAATAGCTTCCAGTTAATACAAGAACATGGAGATAACATCACGAGGGCACTACTGTAAAGTTAAAAGACCTATGTAAAAATTCTGCAGCCAGGTTTCTCACAGGAATGCTAAATGGCCACTGGCCTGAATATTGTAGTTTTATTAACAGAAATACTGACTTGGTAAGATTATAAGCATAGGCCTTTAAATAACTTCCTAGGAATCTGAACTTTTGCTTTCAATACCAAATAGTATCTGAAAAACATGCTCACTTTTGTGTTTTTTAAGAAATTCTAAGAACTGGCCCAGATTCATGTGATAGTCATTCCTTAATCCGTAGTCACCATGGGCCTCAAGGAGTAATTCTTCAAAAGAATGGAAAAGGCGCAGATCCTCGCCATTTCCTTCAGTTTCCATACTTTCAGCATGCTTACAGGAAATGTGCTTCCAATTGGGATACCTAATTGTGTGCCAGAATTCCTCACAGGGCTCTTTGAAGCCCTCCACACAGATTATACCAGGCTTTCCTGTCATACAAAATCCAGTCACATCTAACCTTTTCCCAGCATCCAAAATCTTTTTCCTTAGGTCCTGCTGATAAATGTGGTGGCTGTAGATCCACATTCGGAGAAATGTGTTCTTGACTGGCTTTGCTTCCGTAGATGGTTCGTAAACGAGCTTTCTGTTCAGGAAATAGGAGGCACTGTTGTCCTGTAACCACTGGATTGCTGCACATACACAGAGCTCACCTGGATCAAAAGTCCCTATATAAGAAGTGAGACCTCTGTTGAGAAGTAGCTGCTCTTGTCTGTCAAGCTCAGATGACCGTCCAAACAGCTGCAATGCTACATAGGGGTAGCTGTGAGGCATGGTTACTTGCAAATCAATTTTCACCTTAAAATGAAAATCAAATAGACTTAAGTACCATAAAATCACCTAAGCTAGTTTATCAGTGGCAACTGCATGTTTTTATTAAATGTAATAGTTATTGCTACTATTGTCAGCTATGTACTAGACACTGTACCAAGTACTTTACCTACACTATTCCTTCCATTTATGTATTCATTCATTCCAATATTTATTGAACACCTAACCATGTGCCAGGTACCCTATTCTAGAATAAAGAAGTGAGGACACTCTTTCTGTCCTTTGTGAAGTCTAGAGCCTAGTGAAGGAGACAGACATTAAACAGATACAGCAAGTATTTCATTTCCATGGTGAGAAGCATTACCATGGAAAAGTACAGGGATCCACACAGCTTGGGGAACCAAGACATCTCCTGAGGGAATGACAAAGGATGAGTAGGAAAGAGCTAGAAGAGTGGTTCTCAAGTGCCTAGTCCATGTGTTACCTATGCTAATGCTAGAGATAAATGGATCAGAAGATGAAGGTATATTCATTTTTAGTATTTAGATTTTCTATCTGTATTTGCTTTCTGTGTTAGGGTGCCACCAAAGAAACATTTATTCACTCCTTAAAAGCCAGTTTTGCTGTAGGCCATATATTTGTGAAAATCAAATATATACAAAGAAGTCCATACTATAATAGTCAGCTTGGTAAAAACAGTGGATGGCTGAGCAGAATAACAATGGTAGTCAGATGTTTTTAATAATAAACACTAGGCATACTTGTTAAAAAGGTGTGCATGTTTACGTAAAATTCAGGATGTTTATTGAAAACAATTTGGCATCCCATATTTTACATATTTCACTTTCAAACAAGTAAAGGAAATTTGTGGAAAAATCCATCTGGAATACTCTCTATTTGTTTCCTAGACTGAAAGCTTATGTTCCAAGTGTTTCCAATTAAAAACTTGGCACCTTGCAACAATTAAAACAACTCAAGGCTCTTACCTTGGGCTCCTCAATCTGGAGTGTAATCACAAATTCAATTGTTGGTGGCAGCGCCTCCCTTGTGCCTTCCAAATACCTCTTTATAGTCGTCAAGGCATTTACATCTTCAAGTTTTACTTCTCCTTGGTTGGGAAACATGGAAAACAGCATTTCCATCTCCAGCAGCTGAAGCTGCAGGCATTCCTTCATAGAAGCGGAGGACATGTTGCCTTGAAATCAACCTGCCAGGAAAACTGGAAAGGCCCAGGGACTCAGGGTTTGTCAGTCAGCAGTGCTCAGCGAAATTTCCCGAAGGTCCCTTTGCGTGGAAGCAGTTTTGCAGGAACGCTAGGCACTGAGAGCTAGGGGCACAAACCAGGGCACTTACACTCTATCTCCTGGACCCCCAAATCTAGCATGCACGACCCCCACCCCCCTCCAAGATACTTCGTTAAAATTCAGATTCCCAGTCCCTTTCCCCTACTCCCACTTCCGATCTAGATCCTGGGACGCGGGCCTGCAACAAGTGTTCCGAATTTTTCCGTTGCAGGTGGTTGGCAAACGCCTGCGGGCGCCGCAAGCCTGCATTCTGGGAAAGGCGAGGGGCCCGGCTTCCGAGCCCTCCCAGGACTCGGGTGGGCGGAGCCGGCCGCTGCGCAAGGGAGCCCGCAGCGCCGGTGGGCGGGGCTTCGGCTTCCCTAGCCCCTGGTCTCGAGGACTCCGCGGCCGCCTGCGCCAGTTGTCGCCCCTCGGCCGGGGCGCAGAGGGTCGCTCCCGGGTGGGCGTTTCCGCCTCTCCCGAGAGCCAACCGGCCCGGAGGGGCATCATGAGAGCGCGGGACGATGTGGATCCGTTTGCCTCTCGCCCGAGGGGCCCAAGTTTAGGGGGTCCTACAGTTACATAAATAAAATGAGGTTTAGTGTCAAGCGGGGCGGAGATGGGGAAGAGGAGGCGGCCCAAGAAGGCTTCCCCGAGTCAAAGGCTTGGGAGATGAACCTCGAGAATGGAGAAGCGGATGCGGGAAATCAGGGGGCGCTCGGTGTGATCGAGGCCACCTCGTCAGAGGCCCCAAATCGAGGCTGGCGTTCCTCCATCCAGGACCCTAGGATCCCCAGCTTCCCAGGAACGTGGGCTCTGCCACCCCCAGACCCAAATTTGGAGGCGGGGCTGGGTACGTTCCGGTCGCAGCGCTCGGGCAGCCCGCGACCCTCGGCTCCAACCCCCGGGCCACCGCGGAGGCCTCACCCTTCCTGGTCATTCAATGGAAACAGCCCCAAGCCCGCTCAGACCCCGGATCCGCAGTTCCCGCAGGCGCGAGCTGCGCGCGACCCGCGAGGAGGCGGGGCGGGGCCAGCGAACCCTCCCCGCCGTGATTGGCTGAGGGG